AAGGGAGCTCATTCAGCTAACAGATCTAGAAAGGGGCTCTGAAGAGTTGGTGATTGGAAGGAGTTAAAACACCTCTGAAGATGACGTGCTTTGAGAGAGGAAGCACTTAAAATCTTCACTAAGAAGAAAAAATTAATTGCCTAATCTGTGTCTAGTGCACATGACCACAATCCAAGCTACTCCAGAAGCTGAGGCAAAAGGATTGAAAGTTCCAGGCCAGCCTAAGCAACTTACTGAGACCCTGTCTCAAAATAAAAATTGTAAAATGGCTGCAGATGCAGCTCAGTGGTAGAGAACTTGCAGAGCATGTGTAAGACTCGGTGTTCCATCCCCAATACTGCAAAATATAACGTGAACGTAAAAGAGCTTTGACGTGTCAGACACTATGACAGGACTCTGTCCTGGAGAAATAGGCCAGAGAAGAAGGTAACATCTTCTCCATAATGTCCTTTCCCTTCAACACAATGAGGGACTCAAAAATTGGTTACAAAGGGCCAGAGATAGAGCTCAGTGGCACAGTGCCTGCCAGGCAAGCACAAGGTTCTGAGTTTGATTCCCAATACAAAAAAAAAAAAAAAAAATGGTCACAGTCAGCAGACTGCAAGGGTAATGCTGCCAAATAAAGAATGGATGGGGTCGCTATCCAGGAACCATTTTCCCTGCTGCCTCCTGCCATCACTCACTGAAATCAGGACAGAAGGCCTGGATTTGAAGCAAGGCTTTGAAAAGTAATGTGACAATAAAAAGTTTCTTTCAAATTATCCTGTTTTCTCACACAATTCAACATATTTTTAAGTGGAAACAGCCCTAACAACCCAACCTACGCATCTAAGACATCCTGGGACCTGCATTTTCACAGTTAACAGATGATCACCCTGAAGACTTTCCCATGGACACTGCAGGAAGCATCACAACAGAGTGACAGGGCAGCTGCTCAGGCCACTTGAATCCCATCTTTTGTCACCATCATTAATCGATAACCGGTCCTGAGTGAATTCTGATGCTGAGAAAGGCAGTGACCCTGCTCAGAGATTTTGCATGGGTTTCTAAACCCTGTCCATCAGTTCCCATTTTGGTTAAAATCAACACTATTAATCAACCACTAATCAACCAATACTATTAATCAACCAATTAGTTGCATTGGGGTGAGGCAGGGCTTTACCTGCAAGCCCACATAGCCACGTACCACATGAGCGGATGCCACAGTTCCGAGAGACAGCACTCGGAGAAATGTCTATCATGGGAGTCCAGAATGCACTGCTGTTTCTTTCAAACTCCAATGAGACACAACCTGGAAGGATGATCGACAAGCTTCCCCCAAAGAATCAGGAGGTCTGAAAAGCTCCATGATCCAGGCTGCAGCCTTGGCACCAGCAAAAACTGACTACATAGTAATAGAAGCTACACATAAATTCTTTCCCTAAATGTCACAACAGTTGAGTCCTTTGCTTAAATCTTTACTTAATTTGTATGTATTCTACTGTTATTTATTGCTATGATTCAGGTAAAATTTGAGTGTCTCCCCATAGGAACTAAGATCCCTATGTGAAGGCTTGGTCCCTGGGGTGGTGCTACCATGAAGTGCTGTGGGCCTCTAGGAGGGAGGGCTTTGTGGGAGCTAGCTAGCAATCATCTACTTATGAAATGGGGCTCTTTTCTATGCACTTGTCATCTAATCACATCAGCTGATTTTTTTTTTTTTTTACTTTTGGCTACTGGAGATTGAACCCAGGGCTCCAAACATAGGAGGCAAGTGCTCTACACGGAACTACATTCCCAGCTCTGAGCTGATTCTTTTAACTACATCTGTCTCTCTGTATATTCATACATACCTACATATAAACATACATACATCTTCCTACATCCCTATCTATTATTCCATTTTTCTGGCAAACCCTGACTAATGCCTCACATTTCAGATGTCTGTACATGCAGCCACGCTTGCTTTGGTGCTGTAGCAGGCAAGTGATCGTCGTTATTTGGGTATATGGATTGTTGTAGAATACTTCTCAAATCTCTCAATCACTAGTGTATTCCCCGCCCACAGGGACTGAATAGCTGCTCCTGCTGGCTGCTGCCATGTCTAGCATTGCCAAAGTCAAATGCTGGGGCTGGGGATTCCGCTCAGTGGCACAGTGCCTGCCTGGCAAGCGCAAGGTCATGAGTTCGATTCCCAGTACTGGAAAAAAAAAAACAAAGTCAGCTGCTAACTAGCCCTTCATCCCCCATTGCCTATTTCACTTACAGTCAAACAGGTGACCTTCAGACCAAGCAGCTATATCATGCCTTTATATTTTCCTAGATAATGTTTTGACCTCTAATTATCAGTCCCTTTAATTTTTATCCTAGGCATCAAACCAGCATCACTTGGAAAGCTGGTTTATGTGACGGAAGTCCAGACTGAATGGCACCATTGCCTGGAAAATGGGTGGGTGGCACACATAACTGCGAAGACATGCAAATGCATTCACTCCTTTAAAAAAGAGGGGAGGAGAAATTTCATTCAGTTTAGACAAATTTAAATAGAAGTGACTGAAATATATATATTTTCCTAAAAAGAATTGCTGCATAACAGCAAAAATGCTTTTATTATCCCAAATTAGCTGCAAAAAATTCCTCCAGAGACTTGACAGGAGGTAAAAAAGAGATTTCTCACAGCATCGCAGAAAAGAAAACTCCAGGATAAGAATATTCATACAATTTTGTTTCATAACACATTTACACAGCCTTTTAATACCCAGGAATTACAGCAAAGGATAAGAAGGAAAATTGCTGCCGAAAGAGAGGATGAAAGAATAGAGACAATTCACATAAACATTTTTAAACGTTAAAAAAAATCCTACTTAAGTCTCTCATGAAGCCTAGACAATCAAAAGCCTCCATCAGGTAAGAGTAAGAGGATGAAATTCACTTTTAGGCACACTATACACTACGTGGCTCATCTTTGCTTTAGACTTTATCTTCATTCTGGGCTTCTTGGTCAACACACTTTAAATAACCTAAAGTGCATGTGTGAGGCAAGGCAATGTATAGCTTCTGAGTGTGGAATTAAAATGAACAACAAATGGTCCCACCTACAGATATCTTAGAAACTAAAAAACATTCTCTTTTTTTTCTTTCTTTCTTTCTTTTTTCCCCCCTGGGTAGTTACGTACCTTTCATGTCATCTTCTATTTGCCCAGAAAACTGAGTTAAAAAGACACAGCAGGCATAAACTATGTCTGCACAACAGGACCCCTATTTATCCTACATCATCCCAAAGATCAATCCCACACTTGGAATGTTCAGTCCAGACTTGATATGAGCCCATGTGATTCACCGAAAGATCACAGGGTTAAAGCCGGACACCCTCATGCATACCTGTAATCCCATCTACTTGGAAAACTGAGGCGAGAAGATTAGAAGTTCAAGGCCAGTCTGTTTGGGCACTACTGAGACCCCACTGCAGAAAAAATAATCAGTGTCAAACATGTAGGAGATACTCTATCAGGCTGTGGACTACTACTCCATGGAAATTAAATACGGCACAGAGGAAGGCTACATCATCTACTGACCTCAGGGAGCTTACTTTCCAGTGGAGGAATCAGAGGCACTCAGGATCAACAGTGATCAGCAAAGAGATAAGCAAAGTGGAGGAGGAACTCAGAACAGTTAACCCCATGTTGGGAACTAGGGGAAGTTCCTCTGACAATCAGGTACGGCCAGCTAGCATTGACCAAGGTTCTCCTATGTAACCTGGTTGGCTGGTATCTGTGGTAGGACTTAAAAGAGGAAGTGGATTTCAGTAAGTAAAAGAGGCTGTCCAGGCAAAAGAACAAATCAATCTGCAGGCAGGGACAGAGAATGAGGCAGATGAGATGGTGTGAAAAGACTGGGCTCTCATGCCTCATCCTATGGAGCCTTGTGCTATGGCTCCTTTGCCTCAGTTTCCTTATTTGTGAACTGCAGAAGTAACACCTACATCACTGTTGAGTTGATAAAGTGTTCACAGACTGCCTCAAACTTAGCACTCTACAGTTTTTGTTGTGGTGGTTGTTTTTCAGTACTGAGGACTGAACGTGGGGCTTTTGCACTGAGCTACATCCCCAGTCCTTCTTTATATTTTATTTTGAGACAGGGTCTTACTAAGTGGCCCAGACTGGGCTGTAATCTGCAATCCTCCTGCCTCAGCCGCCCAGAGTTCTGGGATAGAGGCATAGGCCCCCCACATGCAACTCTATCTAACAAATATTTTTAACTATCCAAATTAAATTCCTCTAATTTCATTTCATTTGATGGACCTATTTATTCCCCATATTTATATACAGCACCCATGGACATTTTGGAGGTTCACACATTTCCAAATTTCACAGCTGTTTCCCTCACAACCCCTCCATGAGGCTACAGTATGAACGTCCCAATACCTACAGTAAACACTCAAGAATCTGTGCTAAATATCTCCATAGTCTCCTGCACAAACAGAAGAACCAGAGAGAGAGAGAGCTGACACAGTGGGGCCACTTTGCTTTCCACGTAAGTAAAATTCTGTACATGAAAATTACTGAAATGCCACAAGCAAAAACGTATGTGAGGTGGTAAGAAAGTCTTACTGAGATGCCTCCCAGGCCAGGGTCCAAACATATACTGAGAAAGTCCGTCCCCTGAGAAAAGATGGTGCTATGATTAACCGCCAATGTGACTACTGCCCTAACAAAAGAAGAAGTGCTACAAGCCTGTGCTGGCAGTTCAACTAATCCACTCATACTGCACTTTACTTCCGCAGCACTTGCCCCAAACCCTGAATGAAATGTGCACTCTTACTATAAACTATTTCCAAGATTGACTAAAGCTAGATCTCAATTAGCTTACAAATACGTGTTAATTCTGTTTTTAAAAAGAGAGACCTGATGACTCGAAAAATACTACTAGCCCAAATCCTTTTTTAAAATATTTTTTAAATACTGGATGCTTTAACAACAAAAAACATTCCTCATCCATTGCATAGGTGAATCCAAACTGACCTCCCTCCAGGAAACTGCCTGAAGCAGTCCGCAAGGCGCTTCCTCCTTCGTGCGCGCAGGGGCAGCACACTTCCGGTCTCCTTTTCCCCCCCGGAAGTGCGCGCTGCTTTGTCCACGGCCTAAATGAGCGTACCCTACATTACTTGAATGCCGTGCTGTAGGTGAAGGTCTTCTCCAGAAATATTCGCATGGCCTCCGCCTCCTTCCAGTCGTCTCTTAATTGCCAGTCAAGAAATGAAGGGATTATAAACCTGCTCTGGTGCAGAAAAGGAAAGGGAAGAGCAACTTCTCAGAGTCGCAGGATGAGGAGCTGTAAGGATGGAATTGATGGCGCAGGAGAAAGAGAGAGATGGCAGCGAGTTCCAGAGAGCATGCGCAAAGCAAGCAACCGTGGCAGCCTGCGCCTGCGCAAGGCAAAGGCGCCAGGAAACAGTGTTCCTGGTAGACTGCAGGGCGCACAACCTAGGGATGTCAAGACCTGAAAGGGTAGCGTTTACCAAACAGTACAGCCAAGCCAGGAAAGAAAGGGGAAAGGGTGGCTCTGGAGAAGAAAACGAGAACATAACTGGAAGTATAAACAAGAGTAAATTGCACACTTGAATATACAAATAGGAAAATACCGCCAGGGCAAAAGAAACCCAGACCCTCACTCTCAACCTGAGCACACAGAACTCCTCAGTAAAAATGCCCTATCGCTACTTCCCCTAGGGTAAATCCCACCAACTCACAAGCCCCATTCCATACACAGAGTTCATCATTAGGTTTCACCTTAAAACTAAAGAATCACCAACATACAAACCACCATCGTGAAAGAAAAGACCAGGATAAACAAGATAAAATGCTAAAGAGTATTCAGAAATAATTTGAATGCTCCAATTTATATACTCATTAGGGCGGTTAGTGCTTCCACAAAGCAAGGCCAGAATGCTATAAAGGGAGAAAAAAGTGGGAATTTTAGAAATTAAAAAGCATGATTAGTTAATAGAACAGAAAGACAAATTAGGAGACCCTCCTCAGGATGAGAATTAAAAGAAAAACAAAGTTTAAGTAAAAGATAGTAGGCATAGAGAATCAGTCCAAGAGGCCCCAGACTCAACTGATAGGGGTTCCAAGAAAACGGGAAAGCAGAGAAGAGCAATTTATCAAAAAATGCACTCAGGAGAATAGTCCGAAAGAGAAAAGATAGCAGTCTCCAGATTTAACGTGTTCCTACATGACTAAGGGCGGAAAGTGTTCACACCTGTGCATACCACTGTGAACTTTCAAAGACCAGACGAAGAGGTAACCCTAATGCCTCCATCGAGAAAAAGGCCCGGTGTAAAATAAAAAGCATCAAGGTGGCGTTTTTAGGTAACAGTGGATACCGGAGGCAGAATAACACCTGCAAAACCCTCACAGAGAAAATTACTTGCAACCTGGATTTCTAGTCACACCCATCAAATGTACGATTAAAGTACAGACATGTTCAGGAACGGGAAGACCTCAGTGTTTCTTCCCACTCATTGCATCAGGCAGTCATCAGAGGAAGTTGTAGGACCCAAAGAATAAACCGAAAACTAGAAAGACTCAGAATCAAGGAAGCAATGAGGCCAGACGAAGGAAGCAATAAGCGGGGCTGGGGATTTAGCTCAGCGGCACAGCGCCTGCCTGGCAAGTGCAAGGTCGTGAGTTTGATTCCCTGTACCAGAAAAGAAAAAAGAAGCAGCAAGGAAAAGTCCCAGGATTTTACAGTGAACAGCTGATGAGATCTATTGGGAAAAGTTGGTAAAATATGACAATGTGATAAAGACAAAAAGGTAAGACAAAAAGAAAAGCACTTTAACACTTCAGGAAAAACAAAAACGTAAAAGGAAGGACTTTTTCTAGTTCTGCAATATTACATATTCGCAGTATGTATTTACATAGTCACAATAATAAAACTATATATTTTGTTCACTTAGGTACTCAAGCAAGAGAATATATAAATGCAAAATTTATGGTTATAGAGCAATAAAACATGTTATTTATACTGATACTGTAAAAGGAAGAGATGAGAAAAGTGAAGGGAGAGAAGGGAAGAAAGCCTACTGAAGGGTAGGATGGGATAAAACAGGGCCAACATATATAACCGCACAGGCCCCTGTGCTCACTTCGAAGAGCCTATCCTTGGTTTAGTGGCTTTTGGTCACCATCTTGAAATTCATAATAATTTTGAACATTTTTATTTTCCCTTGGCCCTGGTCCTGGAGCTGAGTGCAAAGTTGACCTACTTTCAGTGATTAATGCAACAAGAAGTAAAGGTCTGCTTGTGAAAGTTAGAAAATAATCACCAGTGAAGGTATTCACAGTGTTGTCTGACCATACAAAGATAGAAGAAGAAACTCTGATAGCATGTGAAGACCACCTACACCTTCATCTCGCCCATCAGAATGCAGAGATAACAGTGCTAACACAATAGAGATGGATAATAACTAGAAAAGAACCAAGCAAAAGAGATCAAAGTAGTCCCTGAGGAGTGGGGTTAGGAAAGGGGAAGGATAAGCCAGGAACATTGCATCTTATCTGAGGTCTTAATACGCTTTGCTTTATTTTTTTAACCTTGTTTAAAAGGTTCATTTCATTTTCTAAAATTAACTTTTAAAGGTTAACAAAAAATCCTAATATAACAAGGCTATATTCTATAACACATTTTATAAAATAATTCTATAAAGCAACTGATTATATATATACAAACTTTCTAATTTACTACAAATGTTACATGATTGATGTTTTAAAATAGAAAGTGACAAGCACAGAACATGTATGACATAGTTTCTGCCCTCTAGACATTCACTCATTTTATAAATCATGTCATCTCTGCCAAGGTCAAGGCTAAATGGAGAGAGAAAAACTTACTAAAGCTGTGTAGCTTGCAGTGGTCATGTTTGCTTAAAAGAGCTATTTGTCCCAATTTTGTTTTTTACCATTACATTGTTTTCAAAAACTCCGCATTTGCAGACTCAAGTACAACTGCCCAGCACCTCGTCCTCATTTTGACCAAGCTGATAGACCAAGCTCTGAGCCTTTGAAGAGGGAGGGCTACATATTTACTAGACTTCTAAGTGAAAATAGGAGCAGTGGGAGTTTTGAGGAAGCCGGCAGGGAATCAGACACATGGACTTTTCCCATTGCCTGAGACAGACACGTGTGTAATTCACCTTCAGCAGGACTGAATGAATGATCTTCAGCAACTGGTTACAACTGCCAGTTTGCTTAGGCAGGCATATCTCACATGTGTGTAGAAGAGCAAGGCAAAAGACAGGATCTGGTGATGCTCTAACATCTCTTGCCATGAGCAAAACCTAGTGTGGGAACTGCAGCCATTCAGTCCTGGACACTCTTGCCTTACAGGAAAGAGTAACTGAGGAAACACACTTGTACTATGACATACAGTAATTATTGAATTGAACCAAGTTTTAAGAGCGCTGCAAGCTTCAACAAATCCTCCTCCCCAGGAAAAGTTAAAAAAAAGAACAAGGAAATTTTGGAATGAGAACCATAGGCCATTAACTGTATAAACCAAAACTTCTCGTTTTCCCGATGTTGGCCTTGTCTTTCTGCCAACATCATCAGTTCCCTGATGTGAAAGAACTATCATGACCAATTACATGGTAATCAACTTAACCCAGTTGATCTCCTGCTTAAATGATGACCTAGTGATAGGACACTGGGAAAGTCTACACGTGGTCTGTTCCTGCTGCAAGGGAAGAAGGAAGAAGTGAAAGTGCTGAAGTGAGTATTCTGCTCAACTCTGATGGCCTTCAAAGACTTGAAGCTCTACCACATTCCTCAGTGGAAGGGGCATTTTCTGAGGAGATAGTTTGAGGAAGAGCAAAGCCCAGGTGGAGAATGTCTGGTAGCCCCTGAAGAAACCAGTCTTGTCCACCTAAAGGATGGCGTTTCCTGGGGAGAGACAAAAGGCCTGTCTTCTCAAGCAGCACACGAGGAAGCGATAGCCACTAACATAAAGATGGACCACCTCAGGCAGACCGTGCAGCCTGACCACATATGCCCACAGCACAGGGAACAAGGGGACACCGGTGCGGTAGGAGAACAAGTCAGCGAGCCCTCACCTTCTCACCTGGAGCTCCAGGAAGGCACAGTTATTGCTGAGGTAGGAGGGAAGGGCCACCGAAGCAATAGCAATGGCAAGAACCAGCATACAGAAAGGTGTGTGCTGTGGTTTGGATGAAGGTCACTCTGGGGCCCGTGTGTAAAAGTTTGGTCCTCAGAGTGGTGGCACTGGGAGCTACTGTGGACCATTAAGAGGTGGGGTGCAGCGAAATGTCCTTAGATAATCAGGGCATACACTCAAAAGGGCCTGCAGGACCCTACTCTGTGTCTCTGTCTCCGCCTCCCTCTCCCCCTCCCTGCCTTCCCGTCTGCTCCCTCTGTCTCCTGGCTTGAGATGTGAGCACCTGCTTGTCCTGCTGTGATGAGCTGCCCTTCCCAGAGGCCTAAACCAATAATGATGGTTTTTCAGAACGATGAGCTACACAAACCTTGTTCTGCATAAGTATCCTGTCTGAGGTATTTCCTTGCAGCAATGGAAAGCTGACCAATAGAACATGGCAGGACAAAGGGATGGTGGGTGGCTGGCCATCAAAGTTGACAGTACATAGTGGTGGTTTCAGCTGGAAGACCCTAGAAGGAACATGTGAGGCATCAGACGATAGGGGCGGAGGAGCGAGGTAGGAGCTTGGCTTTCTCGGGGGCTTCCATGCCAAACTGTGGCAATATTAGTGCCTTCTCTCTCTTTTAACTTTTCGTGTTTAAATAATTACATAAGAATTACAAGAATAGTACAAAGAATTCTCATACATTCTTTATTCAGATTCACAATCTTAACGCTTTGCCACACTTGCTTTAACATTCCCTTCCTATATATAACATGTTTTATATTTTTATACATTTTATGTTATATTTTACATAATACACATCATTCTGAATGCTGTGAGAGCTGGTAATCTGCTTCTCCACCCCAAAAAGTCCTTACCATGTGTCTTCCAAAGATAATAACGTTCTCTTCCACTACCATAAACAATTAAAAGTTCAGAAAAATTAACTTCCATGCAACAGAATTATCTACTCTCCAGTCCATAGTTATATGTTTTATATATACCATAGTTATATATATACCCCAGTACTGTAGTATATATCGCCTATCTAGGATCACGTGCTGCATTTAGTTGTCATGTCTCATCAGTCTCCTTCAATCGGGAACAGTTCCTCATTCTTACTGGTCTTTTTGACCCTAACACTTTCTAAGGCCAGTTGCCTCTCCATTGGGCTTACACGGACTTTGTGCCTTTTGGGCAGAAAC